AGTGGGCGGCATGGCGGCGTCCCCTGCGAGCGCCGCGCGCACCCTGCTGCGATCCCTGCTGCCGGTCATCGTCGCCGCCATCCTGGCCGTGCCAGAGGCCTCCCTCACGCTCGTCTCGGTACTGTACAGCGGTGCTCGGACACAAAGCCGCGAGGGTGCGGGGGTGTCAGGGGGGGGGGGCAATAAACACATTCCTCGTATGAAATGGCGTTTAATCGAATGGATTACATTGAAATAGCGTGAAACTAAAGAAACGGCTATGTACGGCTTCCCCGCCCCCTCAAAAGCGCGCGCTCCTAAACTAGATCACCTGGATAGTCCCGCTCCAGTGCAACCTCACCCCCACCCCCGCCGGGCCGTCGGGCCACCTGTCGAGCGTGTGCGACCGCCTTCTGCCTTCTCGACGAACTAATGCGGCCTGCAACCTACCCTCACCTCACATAGCTACTCATATCGCGCCAAAAGGCCTAATGATCCCCAAGGAGACGGTCGGGAGGTTCCGGTTAGGAAAAAAAAAAAAAAAAAAAAAACATCGCGCCAGGTTCCAGCAACGCTGACCTGCCGAGACGCCGGCGGGCGGACAACGCGGCCCAGGGTCCGTTGCGTTTCCGGACCGCCAGGCCGCACATTGCATGCCTACCGACTGTCACATAATGAGACACATTTATAATTTTTTTAGTTAGTTCTCGTAGTTCCGTTGTTCCGTTTGCCGCCAGAATTTGAACCTGCTTTACCTTTCTCATGCAGCCGTGTGGACCGACGCGGGCGCGAGACGCGAGCTCCGCGAGGGCCAGCCTGAGCATCAGCTGGGGCGGTGGCAGCGGTGGGTCGCACCCGGGGGGTGGTGGCGGCAGCAGCGGCGGCGGCTACGAGTGCTGGGCCTCCTGTCTCTGGTCCAGGGAAAAGTGCAAGGCTTGCTGCAACCAGAACCGTCCCGAGAAGCCCGGCCGTCCCGACCGTCCCGAGAAGCCCGGGAAGCCCGGCGGCGGGAAGCCGGACTCGGAAGGGGATTATGAGGTGGATATCGGTGTGGACGTCGACGAGGGCGACAAAGAGGTACGTTCTCTCCCATCCCATTGCCTGCTGCCGGCTGCCCGGTGTTGCCGCGTGTGTCGCTCACCGCATTTCCATCCAGTCCAGCCTGGTGGTGACCGGCGACGACAACGTGGCGGCCTTCATCGAGTGGCAGGCGACGAGGAACGCGTCGATGCTCGTGGCCCAGTGCACGTCCTTCACGGCCTCGGAGGTGCGGCAGGTGCTGGAGGAGCCCGCGGACCGGCCCGAGGGCGTCAAGGCGCTGGCCGCCGCCCTGGCCGAGGCCGCCGACTGCGCCGACTGCGACCGCGACGCCTGCGGCGGGGACTGCGACGGCGCCTGCGGGGACTGCGACGCCGACTTCTGGGAGAGGGCCATCAAGGCGCGCCGGCCCTCGGTGTTCGCCCGGCTGGTCCGCGACAAGGTGACGTGCGGTCGGAGCCGCGGGGCCGGCGCGTCCAGACCGTCCAGACTGACCACCGCAGCGCCCAGGAGACGCGCAACCCATCGGCCACCGCCGCGACGCGAGCGGGAGCGCGACCGCGAGTACGAGCCGCGGGCCGCCCGGGACCTCGGCAACACATGTGACGCGCGGGCGCGGCCCCAAGGACCGACAACCAGCGATCAGTAAGTGTTGTTCAGCGCCAATTATAATAATATAGCATCATGTTGTAAGTATAATATGTAAAAAGTAAAAAAAAAAAATGTGGACAAAAAACAATATAATAAAACCGGTATTGTTCATAGTGAGGGGGGCTGGGCAGGAATGGCGGAGTTGTTTCGCTGGAGTCTCACCATTCGGCACTTTCAGCGTGATATTCTGTGTCCAGTACCAATTATCTGCCTAGGAAGACTTGTCAATGATCCCCCGAGCCC